CCCCGGTGCCGGCTGCCGCTGCCCGGCCTCGCACGCCCCGCGCTGCCGGCGTTCAAAGATGCGGCGTTCCCAGTACGGTACCGCAAACGTTTCAGGAACGGGACTGGCCGCGCCTGGGAGTTGGCAGCGGCCCTGGAGGCGGACGGGACGTTCGGGATGGTCGCAAGTGCTCGGGGACGAGGAGCGCCCAGTTCTCCCGTACCCAGTACCCCCGACACGACTGGCGGACTGGGTCTGTTGCCGAATGCTCTTAATGCTGTCACAGCACCATTAACGTTTGGGTGTTTCAGAGAAATGGTTGTCAGACTGACAGTTTTTTTCCTCCTAACATTTCCATATTTAAAAAATGTGTTTTGTGTTTAAACCTCCAGATGGAGTTTAAAAAAAAAAACAAAACAAAAAAACAAAACAAAACAACCTACAACTGGAAAGAATGCGGTGTTTAGTGTTTTGTGATCTCACAGCTTTGCTCATGTCATCCTTGTGCTGAGGAGAGGGCTAATGTATTTTAGAAGTTCAACACATGTAACTGTACAATACAGAACAGCTTTCAGTGTTTAGCTCACACTTAGCTCTCCTTTCCTTCAAATTGTTTCATTAGTGCTTTGCTATTTCATAGCTTCTGATCCTGAATACCTCTCTCATGTATGTTCTGACAGTTTTAGGGTCCCATTTCCTTAACTTTGCTCTAAGTCTTCCTCTTCCCCTCTTACTTATCAGAGCATAATCTGACACTTGCCAAAGGAGCACTTTGTAGCCTGTGCACAGAGGCACAGACTAGCTGTAGAGTATGCGCATCAGGAACAAACAGGACAGTAGCTGGAGAAATTACAAATAGTTCAGTGCAGGCTGTATAACCTGCTCTGACCTCAGTGCTGGCACAGCTGCACTGTTAGCAGCACTCATCTTCGTAGAGCTCAGATTAACTCGCATATCCACGCCGTGCATAATGCTCCTGGCTGCAGCACAGACATAGCCAATGCCTGATTATTGCCAGAATGCTGACAGAAATTAATCCTTCAGGTTTCTGTGCATTGCTTCATCTCTATGTCTTCTGTTGCTGTTATTGTTTACGAGAGGGGGGAAGGCAGTGCCCCCGTGTCTTTCTGAACATGTGTAATTCACCTCATGTAACTTCTTTTGCTCTCCCTTATCCTGCTCTGCTCTGGATTTTCTCCTTCCTTTCTCTGTCTCATTAACTGTCACTGATGCTCGTTGGTGCTTCAGCTGCTCTCTGTCCTTTATTTTGTGATTTATCTCTGTCCTGTATTTGTGGTTGTATTTTTGTCTCATCATTCTTTGACTTCTATGAGAATAGAAAATTCTCATGCCTCTTTGGAGCTACTTAGTTCTGTAAATATCCTTTTCAAAATTCTGCCTGGTATATTATTATTGGTTTCTGTAAAATGCTTTGTGTAACAAGGACATTACAGAACTGTGATTTCAGTTCTCTTTAAGCAGATGGAGGTTCAGTTAACAAGCTCCATTTAAATATTTAAATTTTTCTTTTGCTGAAATCTCACTGTTTCTTGGTTTGGTGTTCTCTTGTAAAAAGGGGTAAAAATTGACATCACTTTGACAGCAAATACAATTCTCAATGAGGTAAAGTAGATAAGAAGTAGTCAAGAGTAGGAAGACATTGAGGTGTTGTATCTATAGGTCCTTGGTAAGTACGGCTAAAGTCACAGTGATATTTAGTTTATAAAGTGACTGTTCCAATGCTGTCCTTCTTGTGTGTGTTTTACCTTACAGCAGGAAAACAGTTGTCATGCAGATGTATGTACAAAAGCAATGCCAATCTTTGCTTGGCAAAAGTGCAGGTTTTGCAACTATAGGGAAGCTGTGGTGTGAACACTGCTGCGGTGAAGCGATACTTGATAACAAAAATTAGCTGTGCAAGTATTTCAAAACGAGAAAGTGAACAAGCGGTAAAAGACCCTTTGTCAGGTCTTGTGAGCAGTATCTATTCTTTAAGCTGCTGCCAGTAGATATTCCAAGTACTTTTAAGTCTCTAAAATAAGGTCTCTTTATTGACATTATGATTTTTACCCCTATTGATTTGGAAATCGTTACTTATCATAGACCATGTTTTGAAATGAAAAGCACCTTTTGGAGTGTGGAAATGTCAGAAGACTGTGTACTTGTTCGTGTCACTGGCTGATGTAGCCAGTGTCTTGCAAGAGGGACAAATCTAGCTTGCAAGACCAAAGGGCAGGGACAAAAAAAACCAACCCAGAGTGAAATCTTGAGTTTTGAAGTGACAGCTGTTTAAGCATCTCTTGAACTACTAGTTCCTTTCAATTGATACATACAAACAGTGAGAATTGATACAGGTAGATTAAATCTACATCAGTTCAGGTGTTTCCTTTATAACTATTTCTTTTTTAAGTTTACATAGAATAGGGACCTTCTTGCCTTCTCCCTGACTCCCAGGTCTCTTACTGTGCTGCAGTGACACCTTGAGATGAATGAGATTCTTCCATTTGATCTGTGGTGATAGGAAGTCCTGAAAATAACACTGAGGATCCCAGCATGGATTGCCAAGTGGACCACATCTTGAACGTACTAAATGTGTGCATTCAATACAGCGTTACACAATCTGGATCATTCTGCGTGCTTCTTTCTGTTGTCTGAAGGTTGAGATTTTATTGATAAAATATGGGAAGTATTGCTTTTGTGTGGTGGTGGGAGGAACGGCTTACAGTTTGTCACACCTGCCATGTAGATGATCTGCGCTGAGGTGTTTTGTTTGCAAAGTTCTGCACATTCAGTTTATGAAAGCACACATGCAGCAACAGATGTAGTCTTGCAGCCAGAAATAGTAAAAGAATGTATTTGTAATTATAGTGGCAAACCCGGCCTTTTTGCTGGGACAGATTACTTCATTTAAAGAACTACTTCATGCAATACCACTAAAAGATTTCTTGCTTTCCATTGGTGAATTTGCCAGGATAACCATATTTACATACTGTGTGTGTACATACGTGTATAGAAATATATATTTCTTTGTCTCCTAACCCTAAAAATAGCCATTGTCCCAGTCTGAGCTGTTGACAAGGCCCTGCAGCTGTGTCCTGGGTGAAAAGTTTCTCACAACCGAGTATTCCTTGCAGCTCGCAGTTTCCTCTGGGAGCCCTTTCCAGCACTGCTTTAACTGCAGCTCCAGGATGTCTCTCTCTCAACCAAGCCCGTAACCAGAACCTCAGTTTGAACCATCAGCGAGGTTCAGTAGCCACCGCCCAGCTGAACAACGTCTCTCAGCCACCCAAGTTCCTTTTCCAGCCCACCTCCAACTGCAACTCCAGGATTTCTTTTTCTCTCAACCTTAAACCTAATCTCAAACACACCAGTTATCTTGGACTTTATCTTCAGTATGGCTGCCAGCAATTGCCATATCAGTAGGTTTCTTACAGCCCAGTTTCTAGGAACTTCCCCCTCAGCTTCATAGGAAATTCCCTTCCTTTTCTAGGAAAAAGTATTTATGAAGTATTGGCAAACACTTTTAAGTTTAAATTAAGTCTTGTTTGTTCTCTACCCATCTTGTAGCTGTTCTGCAAAAGTAAGATCTTCATTTTCAGAAGTGAGAAGTTTACAGTATTACGTGTGATTAGGAATGGGTTTTGAAGCTGATTTGACAGGAGCTTTTTCCGTGTGAGATGGAGTGAGATCTGGGTGACTGACAGCAAGGAGAAGGCTGCTACCCAGGCTGAGCCCCTTCTTTTGTTTCTCTGTGTCAACGTGCAGTGTTGTAAGACTTCATCCATTTCCTCAAATACTGGCACACTGGATCTATGTAAAGAGAGATCAGTATTTCAGATTTCTTACCGATCCTGAATAGATTTCCTACCAATCCTACCAATTCTCTTGTGTCTGTTGGTTTATTTCCCGTTTTCTGCCAGCCAGTGCAGGAACAGTGCATTACATGCAGAATTTCTATGTTATTGGGTTTTTTTTTTTGTTTTAGGGGATTTTGTGTGTGGTTTTTTTGTGGTTTGTTTTGTTTTTTTCCTCACAGAACAATTTGAAGACTCTCAGTGCAGATTTGTTGTTCTGTCACTGCCCTCAGCTCTCAGCCCCTTGTGACTACGCTTCCTATGAATTTTATTGTATAATTTGTTTCTCTAAATAAGTCTGTTCAGGTAGGATCATCTACCACTTGCCTAGTAATCAGAACAAAGAGTTTCCTTTACCACTTTCTGCTGGTTGTCTATATTGCTATTACAGCTTTTGGTTTTCTTTTGCCAGAATGAGTGGGGCTGCATTCCCATCTCCAGCTGCTGAGATGGCAGAAATTAATCGCCTGCAGTATGAAATGGAATACACCGAAGGAATCAGTCAGCGTATGAGGGTCCCAGAAAAACTCAAAGTAGCTCCTCAAAATGCTGACCTTGAGAAGGGCATTCAAGAAGGTTTTCCAAATGCCAGTGTAACTATGCAAGTTCCAGAACGGATTGTAGTGGCAGGTATGTCTGCATCTCAATAAAAGAAAAATAGGTGAAAATTTAAATTGGTTCTCCAAATTTCTGTATGGACAAAAAGATATATTAATAGATATTTAAAGGGAAACCTGTGAAATGCTTCCTGGTTTTCAAACAGTCATTGTTCATCAACTTTGACTTAGAAAGTTTTTTTTTAACTGAAAATGTTTCATGAATAGTGTTTTTTTTATATAGCTTATAGTGGAGACAGTTACCAAATGAATTATGATCAGAAAGCTTAATTGCTGACTTTTCATCTTACTAAACCAGTTCTGGAGAAAAAAAAAGTGTATTGATTTACACCTGATTTTTCTTAATTAACTATAAGCTAAAGTAACCATAACAAGTTTTGGGGATGTACTATGTATTAGTTATGCAGAATGTGTTTAGTTACAATTGGAATGCTAATTATGTTAAGGATCTGTCTTATTGGGTGGATTTTATCAGTACTACTTTGGTATCTATGGTCGTGGGCTTTACTGTTACAGACCTAGAACTGCTGAAGACCTCCTGATTTGCACAACATGTGACACGCATGTATTTTATGCTTTGAAATGGTGACGTCCTCCCTTCCCCAGTCACTGTATTTCTAAAATAAATAAATAAATAAAAAAAATCTACCTTTAATAAGACTGCCTTGAGATCAAAAGTGCCTTCACTTGCAGTAACAGTTGGTGTTGCTCAGGATTTCTCAGGACCATTGTTCTCAGAGAAACTGTTCAAGTAAGTGTCAACTAATGTGGTATTTATGAGAGCTTTAAGCATAGGTTATATCGTACAAGCCCTGTTAAAGAAAGGTATACTTAATTATTTGGCATAGTCAGGGGAAGTAACTGATGTGATTTTTATTTTTATTTTTTTTTTAATTGAGCTTTAGCATTAGCCGTTGGGACTGAGAACAGCTTGCTTTCTATTGACTGCTGGTGTTTTGCAGGTAATAGTGAAGACATTCCACTTTCCAGACCACCAGACCTTGATCTTCTTCAGTCTACTCCATTCAAGCCACTGGCATTGAAAACTCCTCCCCGCGTTATTTCCCTTAGTGATCGACCACTAGATTTTTTGGACCTAGAAAAACCTACACAGCAAACACCTCAAAATGAAGAGGCTAGTACTCACTTTACTTTTTCCTTAGTTGAGAAGCATGCTGTTAAAGAAAGTGAAATAACCAGTGATTTCTCTACATATCTACTTGGTGCTAACATAAGTTGGGAAAATATAAAGATATTAGCACTGTAGTAGTGCTAATTATGTCTTTGAAGTTCCATATTTAATTGACAGATGGCTAGGGGTTGGCATGCTCAATATGCTTACATAGTACTTATGAAAATAAAGTCACAATTAGAACCACTACTAATACATTTAACAAAAAAATTCCTTTGGTTGAAGAGAAAGTTGCAAGATTTTCTTATATTTGCAGGTTATCAGGAAACAAACCAAGATTCTTTTAAGATATATAGTTAACTTTTGGTATTCATGGCCAGGTGATGTAACAGCACATAGAATTAGTGAGTTTTAACAAAACTCTGAAAACCGACTTCAAAGAGTGGCTTTTCATTGGCATCCAGGTGGATGATGTGTAATCGACATCTTAAAAACTGAAAAATATTTGTGAAGCTGCATATTCTATAGTCATAAGATACAGTAGAAATATATTTATCTCTGGTGATGGGAAGTAATATTAAACATAATATTGCTTGCTTTCATATTCAAAATTCTGTTTGTTCATACTTCTGGCATCAGATCACATGGATAGATAATGACCGGATTGCAGTAAGTTTGGACCTTGGTTTTATATCAGGTCCTATCATCACATTTCTTTCTAATCACTGTGAAACCCATGAAAATGTCCCTTTGTATCTGAGGACAGATCTAACCTACAGAGCTCCAATGCAAGTTAAGTGTCTCCTGGAATTCCTTGTCTTTTATCTCCCTCTTTCTCTCCTTTTCCACAGGTCCGCTCAGTGGGAAGACTGAAGAGAGAACGTTCCATGAGTGAAAATGCCACTCGACAGAACAGCCAGCTGGCCCGAAATGATTCCATGTGAGTAGAGCAGCAGGGTACAGGGACACTACTACAGCTTTGTTACAGATATCCTTTGTTCCTTATCTCCTCCTTATTTGTTTTTTCCAGCTGATATTTTGTATATTATGGGAAGTACATAATTGAAAATATTATAAGGTCATCATTTTAATTCATTTCTGTCCTTTTTGTTTAGAGAGGTGACTCATTTGTGAAGTATTTTCTTGTAGTGGATGGGTAGGAGTGTTTGTGGGCTTACAGTTGGTTTTACCAGTTATCATGAATTGTTACTTCAGGAGACTTTTCAGTTTATGAGCCGGTATAATTTTTTTTTCCCTGAATTTTCAGGAAATTGAGTTCTTTGTGCATCAAAATGTTTCCAGTTCTCTCACTGTTGATGTTATAATGGTTTTCATTCATAGAAAAAGGAATATGTGTGTTTCCTCAAATATTAGGATAAGTCACTTTTTCTTTGTTGTCCACATACTTAGTGTATTGAACTCTGTGAGTATGTATCTTAATCTTTTGAGACCAAAATGGCAAGTAGCATTTAGAACTGGAAACTTCATCTATTGATACCATCTGAGGTAGCAATTCTTATGGTAATTTCTGACAGAAACAGAAGACATACAGGTCTGTATATTTTTATTGGATATTATAGTCTTTGATTAATCACAGTTTATTCTGAATAACAGAATCTTTCCACCTGGCAATAACTGTTTTTGCAATGTAGCAGTTTAAACTCATATATATATATATT